GTGTTATTCTTCATTTTTAGTTTATACTTCTGCATTGGAAGATTCTTCTTGATAATTTTTTAGTGTTTTCAGTTTTTAAGATTTTGAGCTATTTTTTACACTTCTAGATTTTAAGCTGGTGCTTTTTCCTGCAGTCACTGTTACTTTAATTTTTCGACAGAATTTTATTTTTGTGTGAGAATTCAGAGGTCCGTACTGTAAACTATTCAGAATTCAGTTTTTCAAAGCCCTTTCTTCCGCATTTCCTCTGCACACTGCTGAAATGCGAAAGATAATGACTTAACGAAGCGACATAGCATTGATTGGAAGTAAAGCCAAACTGATTCAGTCTGGACTCCTTGAGTCTCAGGTGGGTAGAAATGCGAATTCTATTGCATTCGATGCTCTAAATACTTTGTCGCTTCTGAATGATTTTCAGACACGGAGTATCACGAAATGTGATACTTGGATTTGATCTTAGTAAAGATTGACTTTTTATGCTTAAAATTTGTATGCATATTACTTTTGGAACGCTGATAACAATTCTCTTTTAAAACAAACTGCTTGTTGTTTTTATTGGTGCTTTTTCTTCATCAGGTCGTATATCCTCAAATATTGTCGTAGTATATTCACTTGTGATGTATATGTAGAAACAGTTTATGAAATCTTTCGATTTGGTTGTTTGCGAAGGATTTCTTTTTATCCAGCAGTTTCATCAATCTTAAATCTCGTTTAATTCTAATCGTTGATTGTTGTAGTGGTAATGCCTGACGATTGTCCATTCATAGTTGTCGGAAAACCGCAGATATTGTTCTCTGGAAAATGGTTGTACGTGAAGGAAACTAAATTCAAAAAACCCGGGAGTGATCATTTGCAGGTTAGTTAATTTTGAGTTTGTGTTGTGTGAAGAAGTTAAACCCAGCTACTTTAGCAGCTAATTTGTGCAGGAATGGCAGTGCGCTTTTCGCACTACAAAGACTGATAAGACTAAACCTGATGGAGTTGATGTCATTGCAACACTGAAGAAAAATGGAAAAAAATACTTTGTTCTTATAAAACAATACCGGTTCCCTCTGGAGGGCTTCTGCATTGAATTCCCAGCGGGTAATGTTCGTTTTGGCTTTTAATGAGGCCTGAAGCAAACTACAACTAACATTTTGAAATAAAAACTGGACTTTTTAGGGTTAATCGATCCTGGCGAGGAAGCGCTCCAAGCCGGTCTGCGAGAACTAAAAGAAGAGACCGGATACACTGCAACCAAAGCATGATAAAGCTCTGAATTTTAAAACAGCCTAGTAGTTTTCAATTATGAAATTAACAGTCTCTACAGAATCGAAAGTAACCCATCAGAACAGAGAAAATAAGCCAAATTATTTTGACATGATTTATTTGATGAGATCTTTTGAAATTCCCGTTGGACCCGTCTTCTATGTTCATGCTTCTCGTAAAATTAATTATTTAGGTTGTTTCTGTCTCCCCAGGGATTCAATCTTTGGATCCAGGAATTACTGACGATTCAGTTGTATTTGTTACTGTGGAGATTGATGGGGACGCGCCGGAAAATCTCAGTCCGAAACAGAGTCTTGATGAAGGAGAATCGCTGGAGGTAGGTTAAGATAAACTACTTTCGCTTATGAAATTCTCCTTTTTACTGGAAACTTGGAAGTTTATGGGAGTATTAGAGAAAGTCATCTTTAAGTTTCAGTCATTACTGACGTTAGTGCTTTATTATCATCCAAGCAGCTTTTATGTCATTTATTTGTTCCAAAAATTAAATGTATTTAATTTTTTTTAAAGAACAGCCTTAGAAGCGGAAAGCAAGCTTGTTTTAGCACAATGAATTAATAAAGAAAGAAGAATATGAGGTTTTTCAATGTTACGGACTATTTTAACAGGTGAGGAAGTGTCGAGTGGGTCATTAGAGATTGTTACCATTGAAAGCAAGCAACTTTCCTACTTTGCATTTTTTGTAGGTGCTTTTGGTAGAGTGCGATAAAATATTAGATTATATTAATTCTATTGCTGGAACTGTCAATATTGAAACAATGGTGTACACTTTCGCTGTTGGATTTGCGATGGGTCGAACATTTTGAAGGTTGTGTCGGTGGACTGACAACTGTTAATGGCACTTAAGTAGCAGTGTGTTGGAACAGTTTACTTTATGGAACTTCTATTCAAACATAATGTAGAGTTAATGAAGGAACGAAATTGGGCAGGAAAAAGAGTGAAAGAGAAAGAGGGGGAAAAGTAGAGTTATTCACTAGAGAACGGCAATTAAGTGACATTTTATGGAAGCTTTTTTCCTGCTCAATCTCGTGCTTTTTCTTTCATTTCTGATTGCTTTCTCCGAAATGTCTTTCTGCCGTTTCCGATATTCTTCTGCGTTGAGCATTTTTAACTTCTAAAGCAGCCTGTTTCAATCTAATTTTGAAATGGTTTTGGACTTAAGAAAGGGAAAAATTTAGCATATAGTTTGGAGCAGGAGACTGGAGGAGGAATTTCGGATGTACGAAACGGCCTATCAAAGTTTCACAGTTATTACTTGATTTAGTTGCACAAACTGTTTCTTTGATAAAACCTCGTTTTTTTCGAAGTTCTTGTGTGTGTGTTTACTTCAGTCCAAAAACTATTTCTTCGTTTCTTCACCAGAAGTTTTGCAGAAATTTTTTGTGTTTTTTTTCTGGATGTTTTGGTCGTTTTTTCTATAGATTAAGGACTCTCTCCACGGCTGACGTGGAATAATGGGTGATGGCAACTTAGTCTTACTGGGAACTCATTGAAAGAACCAGAAATTGGAATCACTAGTGAGAAATTAATCATCTTTTTAGCGCAACTCTAACAATAGTCAGAAACCTAAAAATTTTTAACCCTCTTTCCTATTTTTACTTAACCTTCTTTAGTGGGCCCTTTGATATCTTGCTCCTAAATACTTTGGCTGCATTATTAGACAAAATTAAGAAGCAGTTGTGGCTGGTAAAACACAATAACAATTTTTTTCTTTTTAGCGAACAGTTACAAGAACGCAGCTGTAACTAACTGGAACTAGCCACTGAAGCGTAATGAACACTATTTTCAAGAGGTAAATTAGTATTTTCTGCCTGGTCTTGACGGAAAACTTAATATTCTTCTGTGAAACTTGTATTGTGGTGTAGCAGTGCAGGCAGCATTAGATAACACGCTTCTTGTGTTACCTAGATAGGTGTTTGGGAGGGATGGAGGGCGAACTTGAAAGCAGAATGAAAGCAGTGAGAGGCCATATTCAGAAGCTACATGCACGTGGTTTCAAACTGTAGTCTGAGCTGAGAAATGCCGCCTGATGCCACTGGTACCGTGAAATAGTTCATTTTTCTTACTGTTTTATCAACACGTCACCTGGAAGCTGACAAATTTAGTATACGGGAAATTTCCAAAAAGCGGCCTGAGCAGCATGAAAAACTCAGATGGCTCAGAGGTTATAATTTTACTAAAAGCGTCGTTGTCAGCCTCCGTGAACAGAAGGTTAACGCAAAAATGTCTTATAATGTGAACTTTTCCCCAAAAAAGGTATACGCAATACAATTTTTGGGAACTGTTCGAACCCCCAAAATTCAAATCTTTCTTGAAAGTAATATGGCAGTTGTCGGGTTATTGAAATTCAGCCAGTCCTCCGCTGTACTGGATTGCAGAATTAATTTGAAAATGAAAACAACTACATTTCTGTGCCATTGCTTTAGTAGGGACTCCTTTCAACATTCTACGACAGATTTGAAGACTTACAATAATAAAAATTCACGAAAGTTTTTTTCTGTAAATTTTTAATTTTTTAAAAAAATCATCTGAAAAAACTAGGTGTCAAAGAGCAATTCTAAATAGCTGAGTATGCCACTTTGTAAAAACAAGAATGACACCCCTTTTTGTTGATCAGCATACTTCAATTAGGAACTCAACAATAATGCTATTTTCAGATGCTTTTCCTCTGCCCAAAAAACATTTTTTATCAATGGAGTAACATGCAAGCAATGAACCCTGAGAAATATCACCAGTTTTTGCTTTCTTTGTATGAGGACGAATAGCGCAAAAGCGAGGTAAAATATTGATAAAATATTAAGCTGCTATATTCTTACACTGTACTGAAATGACAAAATTTTAAAGTTGAACGGTCACTTGGCTCGGTTTACAGTAAACTTTGAACAAATTTTTGGTTTTTAAAAAGTGTCAGATTTCGATTAAGATTTTATCTGGCAATAAGGAAGCTCAAAATCCGGGGATGAACAGTTCTAGCGTATCAAAAAATGACACTGTGGTCTTTTGGATCTTAGTCAAAATTTTCTGATTGAATTTTTTTTTTTTTTTTGGCACTGTAGCAGCAGCAATTGATGATTTTTTGGACTTTGCTGAAGATCCCTCTAGCTGTGCTACAGAAACAAAAAGACAACAGCAAAGTAGCTTCAACAGATGCGCGCTTCGGTCTTCTGTGTGACGACTTGTTGCACTTGCTAACAACATTTGGCTTTTAAAAAATATCTATCTTTTTGTATTGTTTGAAGTATTGCATTAGGAAAAAAAGCGGTTTTTGTAAAGATTTCGATTTTACGTCCCTATAGTGTACAACTGCAGTATGGCATTCGACTTACAAATATTGTTAAAAATTGGGAACGGAAGTCATGGTAAACCGACATTACAGACTGCACCATTCGCGATTAATCTGAACGATGGAAGTTTATTGGCTAAGAGGTATTTTTTCAAAAGAAACCTTAAAAATGGTCAAAAAAATTAAAATTGTAAGACTGAGTCATTTAGATTTTTGATGTACAGCATGTTTTATCTGCCTAATCAGAAACTGTACCTTTGTGGCGGTAAAAAGAAGCAGCAGTAGAAAAGCTAGCTTTGCGTTAATGAGTAAAAAGGAAAGTTGAAAAAAATGGAAATTCTGGACTTTGGCGGCACGTTATCAACATGTGAATCGCAACGATCATGCTGATGACAAAAAAGAGTGATTAACAAATCAGTTTTTGCCGGAAGATTTGTATAACAAGATTTTAACACGCTGTTTTTTTTTAAAAACTTTAACAGCTTTCATAATCGAATAACGCAACTACTTATTTATGACTATCGCCGCTATATTTCAATAAACTTTCCTGTGCTTAGTCATTAGAGTAAACTTTGGGAAGAAGAATGGCTGTGTTACTGTCACTTGAATAGCTTTATGAATGGATGGTACGCTCAGCATATATAGCAAAAACCGAGTAAAGAAAAAGGGAGAGGGTGGACACACGGGTACTTACGAGGATGTACAAAGCGAAGAATGAAAAGAGAGTTCTTATTTTGTTGAGGAAGGGATCGACTTAAACGAAAGTAATGAGCTTCTTATCAATTTCAAAACTCTTTGGTGAAAAAATGCTAAGAAAAAAAAGACTTAAATTTCTAGTCCTATTTTTTATGCCATTCTAGACAGCGAATATTGAATTTAAACAAATTGGCTTTTTTTTTT